ATTATTGAGCATGAACTTTGATGTTTTGAACCATTTTGGCCATGGCTGTCTCAGAGGAGTCAACGGGGGAGAGGGCGGAGCCCAGAAACCATCTTATTACCAGCAAACTAGAATTTTTTTTTTTTTTTTTTAACAATTTCAACTAATTTTTATTATCTCTCACTCAGAAGACTTATCAGGGACTGTGTGTGGTTCCTTTGACATCGTTTTTCCAGCGCTGAACCTTATTTTGTTCTAAAATGTACATTTGTTAAAAGATTTTGTTGACCTGCTTTTAAACTAATTGTTATGCACTGATGAATAAAATCACTGGACAGTCTTGTTAATTTTTTTTCACCCACTCAAAACAACAAAAGTTCAGAAGGATAAAACGCTGAGTGTTCCGATATGTTTTGTGACATCTCACTGAAGCTCCAGGGTTATTTGGCTGCAATGATTTGCACATATCTGTGGCTTGTGAGCAGAAATATTAAAAAAGTGCTGTCAGATTTTGACTAAAATCATCTTATGTTGAGAAATGATTGCATCAAATTTCAGCAAAACTGAGTGAGTTATTTCTATATATGTGTTGATTATTGTTGATTAGCTTGCAAACATTTTAAATGGTGCTTGCTCCAGATTATTTCCTTTAAATTTCATCAAATCCATCCAGTTGATTGTGAAATGTTTTACTAAAAGTCAGTGTTGACTAAAAATGATAAACAGCAACATTTTAAACACAGATCCATTACTGCTCAGAATATGTGTTGGTGATCCATCTCGGCTATTACCACACTAAGTTTGAGCTCAATATCTGTAAAACTGATGTAGTTATAGCCATTTTATTTGCTGACTGAGGTCAATTAGCTGTAGCAGCTATATCTTCAATAGAATTGACTCCAACATTTGATTAGTTGCATTTAATTACAGTACTTTTTGAAAGTTTCATTAAAGTTTATCCAGCAACTTTTAAGGTATTTTGGTAACAGACACACAGGAGTAAAACCATTATTGGGATTTTTATTTTAAATAAATTATTTTAAATAATTTATAACCTGTGCAGCCCACACTGTAGGATAAGCTTCCTCCTGCAGCTGAGCAGCTGATCTTGCAGAGCAGAGAAGTGGGCGTGGCCGAGAGCTTGCAGGTGGCAAAGAGCAGCTGAGGCACAAAGCTGAAATCATGACATACTGTGTTCTTTCAGAGCATCTAGAAACATTGTTTAGAATATTGCAAGAGTGTGGGAAGTGTTTAAAATGCCTTTATATATATATATATATATATATATATATATATATATATATATATATATATATATATTAAAATAAACAACTACTTACTACTTGTACTATTATTCCTACTTTATGGTTTTTCACTAACCCAGGGCTTCAGGGTACAGATCTCTCACGATAAATGAGGGACTACTGTATATTTAGATTCAGACTCAAATTCAGTTTAATACATGCCAATGAACTCACTTCTTACTGTAAAAATAAAATTAGAATCCAGTTTATTGTATCTAGATTCTGGAAGAAAAAAGGCAAATAGGGGAAGATGTGAGCTACTGCATTAAACTTTTCTGCGTGTGACAGTGGAAAGGAAAGACTTCCTTTGAACAGGAGGAAACCATCAGTAAACTGACTCAAATGACTGAGGGTTTTAGCCACTTTATTTTTTTCTTATTATTATTCATTTTTTAGCTTATTCTGTAAAACATTTATTCACAACATTTTGAAATTATTCAAAGAATTAGCATCAACTGGAGTCGCTACTTTAAAATACATGGACTACTGTTTCTCTTTAAAGAATAACTTTTTTCCTCAATTCCTGCTTATCATTAATTGTTGTACGCTCAACATTTGACGAGGCTCATGTTTTTAGTTGAAAATTTGCACAAGACGTTCCCTCCGTTTGAATCTGATTCTTTCAGCCTTCTTAAAGGCCATGTCTTGGCTGAGTGTGCTTTTGGACACTGAAGATATGTTGCATTTCTGGAGTTTGGGATGATAATTGGTTCCTAGTTTCACGTTTAACTTTTCGCTTTTTTGCAGCTGGTTTGAGTGATGATTGCACCAAATCTTGTACGATTGTTCAATTTATTATCCAAAAGGCGAAGATGGATAGTAACCTTTTGGTCCATCTGTTTGTGCTTGTGACCAAAATATCTCTAAACTACTGAATGGACTTTCAGAAAGTATCTTCTTCTTTCAGCTGTTCTCTCTTCAGGGGTCTCCACTGCGAGTCATCCTCCATCTCACTCTGTCCTCTGCATCCTCTCTCTCCAGCTACCTAAATGTCCTCTCTAACTGCATCCATATACCTCCTCTTTGTCTTTTTCTTGGCAGCTGCATTTCTAATATCCTTCTACCAATATACCCACTGTCCCTCCTCTGGACATGTCCAAACCATCTCAGTCTGGCATCTCTAACTTTATCTCCCAGTTGTTCAACCTGTGCTGTACCTCTGATGATCTCATTCCTGATCTTATCCATCCATGTCACTCCTAAGGAGAACCTCAACATCTTCATTTCTGCCACTTCCAGTTCTTTCTCCTGTCTTTTTGTCAATACCACTGTCTCCAGACCATACAACATGGCTGGTCTCACAACTGTCTTCTAAACCTTTCAACCATTGCTGCCACTCTTTTGTCACAAATCTTTCCTGAAACTTTTCTCCATCCACTCCATCCTGCCTGCACTCTCTTCTTCACCTCTTGACCACACTCCGTGTTTTCCTGGACAGCTGACCCTAAGTACTTGAAGTCCTGCACATTGGATCATCAATGGATGTGCATTCTGAACCCATCCATCCATTTTCTTTACCCGCTTATTCCATTTTGGGTCACGGGGGTCGCTGGTGCCCATGTCCAGCAATCACTGTGCGAGGGGTGGGGGACACCCTGGACAGGTCGCAAGTCCATCACAGGGCCACATAGAGACAAACGAGACAAACAACCATTCACTCTCTCATTCACACCTAGGGACAATTTAGAGTTACCAATCAGCCTAACCTGCATGTTTTTGGTCTGTGGGAGGAAACCGGAGCACCTGGAGAAAACCCACGCATGCACGGAGAGAACATGCAAACTCCACCCAGAAAGGGCCCTGGACCGGGGTTTGAACCAAGGACCTGCTCGCTGAGAGGCAGCAGCTCTACCAGTTGCGCCACCGTGCTGCCCGCATTCTGAACCCAATTTAGCCAAAACATAAACAGCTCTCTGTCAATTTTACAGACCTTGCGATGAAATTTGATGTGGTAACTGAGAGTCATGAACAACACACACTCTAAGAATGACCACAACCATCAAACTGGTTGGCCCACTATGTGAGTGTGCTACTTATGGGACCGAGTTTGTTGTGGCTCCTCGGACTGAAGTCTTTTGGATGAAAGATGAAACGTTTCAACACAAACCAACATTTTTCAGTCAGGTCATCTGGACAGTTTCTTTTTTTTGTGCTGAAACGTTTCGCCTTCAGTCCGGAAGGCTTCATCAGTCAAGGAAACACACAACAAAACTGATTCTTCCCCCAACAGCTTACTCCAAAGTGGAACAAACCAGTTCTGCTTGTAATAAGATGGTCTCTTTGGTACGCCCCCTCCTCCATTGCCGGCCCTCTTCCTTGTTGACAGTCTTGTCAAACTGGTTGAAAACAACAAAATCCATGCTCAATAATCCAGGCATACAATACGGCAATGGAGGGGGCGTACCAAAGAGACCATCTTATCACAAGCAGAACTGGTTTGTTCCACTTTGGAGTAAGCTGTTGGGGGAAGAATCAGTTTTGTTGTGCGTTTCCTTGACTGATGAAGCCTTCTGGACCGAAGGCGAAACGTTTCAGCACAAAAAAAAAAAAACTGTCCAGATGACCTGACTGAAAAATGTTGGATTGTATGCCTGGATTATTGAGCATGGACTTTGTTGTTTCAACATAAAGAAACTGTCCAGAGGACCTGCTTTAATTTAGATTTTTTTTAGCTGGATTATTGAGCATGAACTTTGATCTATGACATTTCACAGTATTGGATTGGCTTGTTAGGGCGTTCCATGCTTACTTTTCTTTTTAGGGCTTGACCAAAATGGTTGCAAATATGTAATTTCTCTCCATGGATGATCTTAAGTCTAAAACCCTGGCATGAAAGACAGCAGATGATATGCAATCCTTCAAGGAACGTTAGGCCTTTAATGTGAAATTACTGCTTTGACCCATTTTACTTGATTCTCGAATGACCTAAAAAATCAGCATGACTTAATCTGTGGAATCACAAGCGACAACGTCCAAAAAGTAGAAAACGGTGTTATGTTTGTTGCCGTTTGTGTCATTCTTTCATTTTTGTTTTCAGCCACAATAAAACCACATTTGAAATTAATTACATTATAGTGACTACAAATCTGACTGTGAGACGCAGATAAAAGCAGCGTGGGAGAAAAAGAACAACAAAGACGAGCATAATAAGAGAACGGCACTAAATGAATTGTAATTGAAGCTTTTTATATTTTTTTTTGAGACTATAGTAATGAAATTGAATTCTGGGAGATAAGTGGTGGACTGACCTGACAGAGGGAGGATTTTAACATGAGAGCTGCTTCTGTAATTGCTTCCTGAACACATAGGCTTCTTCTCTATGCCAATGAAGCAGAGCTCTTTTGTGTTTGGAGACAGCGGGGAAAGAGAGAGATGCTGAGCTGTTCATCAGAGAGGAGGGAGGGGGTCTGAAACCTCGCAGCTCCCTGCTGAAGGAGACAGTGGACGGAACTGACTCACGCTGCACGTTTTTTAGACTCTTAACCAGACCTGCAGCGGAAAACCTGACGACGAGGACGCAGCAGAACTTTCTGTTAATACTTCTTTTATTTGAGCTGTAAATAAAACCTGAATGTTTCTCACTGAATCTTGACACAGCGGAGGAGATGGTGAGCTGAGGCGCCGGGACACGGGACCAGGTGTTCTCCCACATTTTGTTCACCTGACAAACTGCGGACAACTTCCGCTGTTTTCGTCCTTAATTTCGCCCTTGCTCCTCGTCTACCTTTTTATTTTATTTTTTTTAATGAGGCGCCAGTTGTCTTCGCTTGGTTGAACATTATTTCTCTATCCAGAAAGGGGGACAAGAAGGAATCAAAACAGTTCAGCCCTCAGCATCACAAGGAGGATGCGACTTCAGCCCGGAGTCTGTTAAGGTCCTCAGCTGCTGCCAATATGTTCAGGCGAGGTAAGACAAGAGTTTGTGAAGCTCGTGCGTCTGTTTTTGTGTTAGTTTTTATTTTGGGCTGAACTGGTGCACAGTTTGCAGCACCAGCCGTCCCCGCCCCATTTGTTTTTAATCGCTCCGGCGACCCAAGAAGACTAAAGAGATTAAATATTTACTCACTTCATGTAAAAAAAAAAAAAAAGTCCTTAAAATAGCGAAGCGCTGCCGCACTGCAGTTTGTAGACTTCACGAGGCTGGCTTTGATTCGGCGAGCGCGTGAGAGGAAGAGATGAAAACAAGGAGGGCGCGCGCGCGAGAGAGCGAGAGAGAGAAAAAAAGGGAAACTTCCTAATTTGGCGCTAATGGCGCAAAGTTCAAAGCGTTTGGTCAAAGGTGGTGTCCGCGTGCGAGCGAGGCTGTGGTTACACGGAGAGCTGACAGCAGGGTTTTAATTATTTAATTACTATTTGTTTGGACTCGCAGCGGGTCCAGGAGCCCCCGGGAGATGAAACCCGGCTTGAAGCAGAGAGATGCTGCTGTTTGTCCTCTCTGTCGCTGCCCTGTTGCCTCTGCGGTGAGGAGACGAGTTGTTTCTCCACAGTGACCTTGCCTTTTCATGTATCAGTCACTTTTGGGAAAAAAAAAAAAAAAAAAGGCAAATGAAAAAGCCAAAGCTTTTAATTAAAAATCTTGTCCTGGATTGTGCAACTTAGTTTTTCATCTCAAATATGACAGCGACACATAATGCACACAACATTTTTGTAGAACGTCAAAACAAAGCCAATAAATCATTTAAACAAGGATATAATATAATTAGTGCTGCACATTATGTCAAACACTTTTTCACCGTAACCATACCAATATCACAAACTCGACTTCACACACCGTGAACTCATGCTCTGCACATTATTTCATTTATTTGGCCAATTTAACTCTCACTGACCTTGACGCCCACACAGGATTGATAGAAAAGAATGTGAGAAGTGAGAAAAATGTCAGTTTATTGTGGATGATATCACAAAAATATATATTGCACATTGCACGTTTTTCTAATATTTTGCAGCCATAATAATAACTGCAACAGTCTCACAGCTCAAACTGGGGTTTTTTTTGTTGTTTTTTTTCCACAGCTTGTAACAACATGGGTTTACTTTTGTTTGTGCACTTAATTTGATATATGGAGATGAATTAACGCCGCCCCTCCCAAAGAAAAACAAAAATCAAACTTGTTTTACTAGGGTTACACCATATGTGAAAAACTTGGCGATATCAATGCAATATCTGTTGTGTAAACTGGCATTTCCCTCACTCCTTTATCTTCTGCCATCAATTTTCTACACTAGGCATCAAGGCCAGTAAGAGACCATTAAATCCACCAACTAAATTATTAACATGCACAACATGAATTTATGGTACTTGAACTATAACAAGCACCGTGAAGCACCATCAGCACCTCCAAGTTAAAGACCGTGATCCTTAGACGGAAAAGGCTGGACTGTCCTCTCCGGGTTGGGAGTGAGTGGCTGCCTCAAGTGGAGGAGCTCATGGCGGTTTGTTCATGAGTGAAGGAAGAATGGAGCTTGAGATTGATCGGTGGAGCTTCCGGAGTATCGTGTACTCTGTGAGTCTGTTGTGATGAAGGAGGAGCTGAGTTGCAAGGCAATGCTCTCTGTTTACCATTGGTCCATGTTCCCACCCTCACCTATGGTCATAAACTCTGGGTAGTGACCGAAAGAACGAGATCGCAGACACATGATGTCAAAGTGAGTTTCCTCCACAAGATAGCTGGACTTTTCCTTAGAGAGAGTGAGGAGTTCAGCTATATGGGAGAGTCTTGGAGTAGAACTTCTGCTCCTCCACATCAAGAGGAGCCAGTTGAGACGGTTCAAGCTTCTGGTAAGGATGCTTCCTGGACACCTCCCTATGGAGGTTTAATGGACATGTCTAATTGGGAGGAGACCCTGGGAAGATCCTGGACACACTGGAGAGACTATATCTCTCGGCTGGCCTGGGAACACATTGGAGTCCTTCCAGAAGAGCTGGAAGAGATGGCTGTGGAGAGAGATGTCTGGGTCTCCCTGCCCAAGCTGCTGCCCCCGCATCCTGATTTCGGAACGAGCGGAAGAAAATGGATGGATGGACAAAATATAACTGCTCGTCACTTATTGCAGTCCAAGTGGTTCTTGCGATATTGATATTGCACTCATTGTTATTGCCATGACGATACAGTTTTAATATATTACCCAGAGCTTGTACAACCCCTGATTTTAACCACCACACATTTAGATTCTGACGTATTTAGTTGACACCCCTAACTGGCCGGTTGTATTAGATGTCAACTGGGAAGAGTTTTTTTCTGTGGCCTGTGCTGATCTTTAGAAATCCGGACGTCCGATGGTTGATACGCACGTTTTTTTTTTCTTAGACAAATTTTAGCCAATATGTACTTTCAATTAACAAAATATATTAATTGCTTAACTCAAAATACAGTATATTTATCAAGTCTTAGAGGAACGTATACACTTAGAAATATTATATAAAAGATCATTCTAGATAATTCAAAATAAATTTTGGGCTCCAAAAAAGCTGGTTGTAGCCCATTTTTATTTGCACATTTCCTTTAACAAAGTGTTCAGTATAAACTAGGGATGCACGATATTGCATTTTGGCCGATATTCGATATGGTAAAACTTATTTGGCCGATAATCGATACCAATACCAATATTTTTCTCCTAGACCTCCTTACAGAGACTACATAGCTTTCTCTGCTGTGGAATTAAAATTCATTATTCTGCATGGTCTTTGTCAATTTGGCCTGTTACCAAATGCAGATGCCAAAAAGAAGCTGAAAATGATGTAACACTTCAACTTGGATTATGTTTAATGTCAAATATATTCATGACATTTTCTCTTTCTAATACAATGACAACACTTGAACAGTGCAAATTTGTAAGTTTTCACAAATCTAACCTGTTCACAAGCAACAAGAGAAAAGCGCAAGTAGTAGTGCATTAATAGATATACTTGACATTTTCTTCAAATAAAAATTAACTTAAAACAGAAGACTTTTATATCGGTGAGTTATTTTGATGTCCGATATTTAGCTTTATCGCTAATATTGGTCGACCGATACCATGCTGATAATATCGTGCATCTCTAGTATAAACCATTTATTGTGGAGCGGTGACTCATTACCAATAACTCCCTCCTAAAAAATATAAAATTAATAAATGTACGGGGGGAGGAGGTGAAAAGCAGCGTGTCAGAGAGGAGTTTTGTGGTCAGTGTGGAGCACGACTGTCGCACCCCGAGAAGAGAAACATTCTTCTGTAGCGATATTGGAAGCCTGTCATTTGTCATCTCTGCACTCAAAGCCAAACGGCGTGCACAGATCTGTGCACGTCACAATCTTTAGCCTGTCTGGATTGCCCGAGACGGGGCACGAGCTGGGCGATCTACTCAATGGGTGGGGGACCTAATGGGCTTGACAAGAGAGCTGATTAATCGCCATTAATGTGTCATTGTGTGTGTGTGCTTGTATACAACAAAGAGCTTCAGGAAGACAACCTTCCATTTTAATCTTCTTGTAATTTTAGATGGATAGCACCCACCCACCCATACACAACCCACACCCACAGCAGCATCACCCAGTAGTGAAGTCGGATGGGTGTTTCATCTCTCCTCCCACAAATATGTTTCTGTCAGTCACAATAATGAAATTCAGAGTAATTGTGTAGTCAGCCTAAAATGCAGTTATCTATATCTGTCACTTTTACCTGCTGTATCTCTCTGCGCTGAGATTAAACAAGAGCCAGGGAGCAAAAAGGAGGAGGACAAGTTTGTGTGTGCGTCTAATGAAATCTTCCTCCATCGCTCTTTTCTTGCATGTGTCTTTTTTTTTTTCCCATGTCCGTGCTCGGCCAGCTCTCGCTGCCAGCATCACTCTGAGAGGAGCGAGTGTCTGGCAGCCTGGTGGGGATACTAGTTTGGCTGATGTGAGTGGCTCCTGGAGCTTTGTCTCCCATCTCGTTTGGAGCTGGATTTGTTTCCCTCACTTGACTTCGGCTTCATCTTCCAACGCTGCCAATGTCTTCATACTTATCTAGTTCACTTACAGATATGTGGACAGTGACACTGTGTGGAGAAAAAAACCTTTAAATTCTATTCTGTTCTATTCTGTTCTATGAGCTAACATATCGGACCACAAAAAGAATAGTTGGGTTAGTTTCACATTTTAATATTAGGTAGTGATACCCTCAGATGAGCACCTTAAGACATTACATCATTCTTTTGATGTAGCAACTAAAATAACGAGGATCAGTCTCATTTTAACTGGTTTTGAAACCATAAATCGCAGCCACCATGAGAAGTAAATGTCTCTAAACTTCTATAGTGGCAGTTGGGATGTAATAGGATGGGGAGCGGTGGTGCAGAGGTTAGAGAAGACGGGCCTGTGATCGGAAAGTCGCAGGTTCAACTCTCAGCACCGTCAACATCAAAATGTGAAACACCCACACCTGCCTCCACCCTCATTCGCCCCACTCTGGATCCCTGAGCAAGGCCCTTAACCCCCACCATCTGCTCCCTACAACAGGTCTCTCTTGAAAATGAGTTCTCGTGACTCAATGAAACTACCTGCATAAATAAAGGGTAAATGAATAGGATGTATAGATTCTTTTACAAGCTTTTTTCAGCATTTTATTTAGGTTTTGTTTAATAAATTATGAAAAAATAAATAAATATGTGTAATTTCTCTAAATTTACCTTATTTTAAGACTTTGGAAAATCACTTTTACTTGTATTAGTTTATTTTTTACTATCTTGATTATATAGACCAGTACTGCACATAGTCCCTCATAGGCTATATATTCTTGTGATTAATTCATTATTTTTTTTTCAACGTAAATTCATCCAGTTCACCAAGAAATGCATTGACTGTTGGCAAATGTTCATCAATTTTACTTCAGTGTTCTGCAAACTATAGTGCCAAGCTCAACACGTTATCATTTGACCTCAGTTTC